CACACGCACCTTAACTGCCTCAGGGATGGGTATCTGACAACTGCCAAGAGCCCCTATGCCCCAGAACCAGCAAAATTATTCAGACTAGCCAAGCCACAAAGGCCCCCATGGAAACCTTGCTAACCCCACCCTGCGTGTCACACATGAGCTCCTTCTTATAGCTCCAGCTAGCTGTTACCTTGTCCCTGGTTGCAATCCCCCATGCAACCCTGCCCGGGAGCCTTCTCCCCTTCACAGATATGAGTAATAGAGTTCTGCCCTTTATCATAAGCTCGCTGTGTTATGTCCCCCATCACAAAACCTTTCAATCTCATAGAATATCCACCCCAGCCCAAGTCACGTTCGTTACTTCTCACCTGGATGACTGAATCTACCTGCTATCTGGTCCCATCGGAAGCCAGGTAATTTTCTGTTGGAGGTCAGCTCTTGTCGCACAACTGCTCAGGACTCTCCCCTGGTTTCACCTTTCACTCGGGATCATACTGGCCTTATCTTCTCTCTGACCTTTTTCTCTCTGACTCTCTGCCTAACTCACTTCACAAGCCATTCTGACATGTTTGCCGTTTCTTGAACATGCCAGGAATGTTTCCGCCATGTGGCCTTTGTACTTGATGTTCCCTTTGAAATACTCCCAGGTCGTGACTCAAACGTTACCTTTCCTGAATGTCTACTTAAAGTGAGAAATCACTTCTCTAACATCTGTGATCTCCTTTCTCAGTTATATTTTTCCACTTAGCATTTATTTTCTAACTTTTTACATTGAGGATTATCTAGATATTGTTTTATTGTCTGTCTGGCCCCCCTAGAATGTAAACACATAAGGGCAAGGGATTTCTGTTGCTTTCTTCCGTCTCAAAGGCAGCCCAAGAGTAGTGGCCAAGAGCACAGCGCCCAGGGATGCATCTGGTCTCTGCCTCTTACTTGCTGGGTGACTGCTGACTGGGTGATTGCTCAACCACTAAGTCCCTCTACTTCCTCTTCTGTAACACGGTATCTTAACTGCTGTAGATTGGTGGCTTACAAACAAACAATTATTTCTCACAGTTCTGGAGGCTGGGAAGTCCTAGATCAAGGTGCCAACAGATTTGGTGTCTGGTGAGAACATTCCTCCCCTGCTCACAGATGGCTGTTTTCTGGTTCTGTCATCACATGGCGGGAGTGGCAGGGGAGCTCTCTCGGGTCTCTTTTTTTTTTTTTTTAAGATTTTATTTATTTATTTATTTGAGAGAGAGAGAGAGCATGAGAGAGCACAAGCGGGGTGAAGGGCTGAGGGAGAAGCAGACTCCCTGCCAAGCAGGGAGCCCAACGTGGGACTCAATCCCGGGACTCCAGGATCATGACCTGAGCCGAAGGCCGACGCTCAACCAACTGAGCCAACCAGGTGCCCCTGGGGTCTCTTTTATAAGGGCACTAATCCCATTCATTCACCTCCTAAATTCCCACCTTCAAATGCCGTGACATTGGGCCTTAGGTTTCAACCCGTGATTTTTGAGGGAACATAGACATTCAGCCTCTAGCACATGAGAATAGTAAGAGCACCTGCCTAAGATAATAACTCAATAATTTAATATTTGTAAGACGCTTAGATTGCTGCCTGGCACAAGAAAAACAGTATGTGAGTATTTGTAAAACAAATACATTGCTGAATTTCCAGCACACAAAATAGTACATGGCTCTTGGAGGGGTGATCAGTAAATATCCATTGGATAAATCCTCAAAACAAAATACACTGCAAATGGAAATCCAGTTCTTCAGTGCGAGGTGTGCTGTTGAAAGTGTTTTGTTTGCTATACCCAGGTGGGTCTACTATCACATTACAAAGAGACATCTGCTGTGAGGAGCTTCCTGAGCAATGGGCATCTTTGTGCAGAAACATTCTTATTGTGGCAAGTGGGAGACTCGTGTCGCAGAAGGGGAAGAGAGGATTGGCAAGGGTTTCTGACTCACTAGGGCTGAGAAGAATGACAAGAAATATACATTTGGTCTTTGTCCCTGTTTCCTGGCACCGAGCTCCTAAATCCTTCTGCATTTCCTGAGTGATAAGAATGATATGGGGTGTCTTTTGTTCTAAGGAGGAGACTCTTAGTGGACCCTTTGATAGCTTCAGGATGGGGGCCAGTCACCAGAAAGACCAAGGCAGGATAAGAAAGTTGGAACTTTCAACACCACCCCTGGTCTCCAGAGAGGGGAGAGGGGCCTGAAATTAAGTTAATCACCAATGGCGGATGATTTAATCGATGGTGCCTATTGTAATGGAATCTCCATGAGAACTCCTAAACAATGGGGTTCAGGAGCTGCTAGGTTAGTGAGCACTTCAAAATGCTTGGGAGGGTGGTATACCCAGAGAGGGCGTGGAAGCCCCATACCTTACCCTATGCATCTCTTCCACTGGCTATTTCTGAGATGTATCCTCCATGATAAACTGGTAATAGTAAGTAGTCCACTTTCCCTGAGTTCTGGGACCACTCTAGCAAATTATCGAACCCAAGGAGGGGGTTGTAGGAATCCCTGATTTATAGTTGGTCTGTCAGAAGTTTGGGTGGTTCAGGATTTTCTCTTGGTGTCTGATGTGTGAACAGTCTGGAGGGACTGAGCCCTTAACCTTTGGGGTCTGCACTAATGCCAGGCAGTTAGTGTCAGGACTGAGTTGAATTATAGGACACTCAGTTGGTGTCCAGAAAGTTGGAGAATTGGTTGGTGTGGGAAACAAGCCAACCAACCACACATTTGGTGTTCTGTGGGTAGAAACAGGGGCTGGAATCTGTGCCTTAGTCTATCAGTATAAAGCAGGTTTGCACAAGCTTAAAATGTGTTACATCTTATGAATTACATTTAAAGCTACCTTGAGATATGTTGGAAATATGTTCCTCATTTTGCTTAGAAGCAGACATATAAAAATAGTTCTTTGAATAACACTCAGAGGTCCTGATTTTTCTGTAAAATTGTAAATAAGCAAATGAATACATTTTTTAAAAGGCAGGTAACTTTTTAAATGTTATAACCAAATGGTCTTCCTCTAGGCTTATCATTGTATTTTGCTATTTAATATTTTATTTTTCCTCACTCAGATTGAAAGCTCCCTCCTTTTCACTCTGGTAAGTCTCTTGGAACAGGAAACTGAAGAGACTGCCCTAGATGTGGGGAGAAATGAGACTTTCAGAGAGGATGAGTAAGAAGACTCCAAGGCAACTAGTTTTCCTCCCATGCAATTTCTAGTTTGAAAGGCTTATTTCCCAGTCTTTTTTCCCAGGTAATTGTTCCTCTCTACTTTTTTTTTTTTGTCTTAAGTTTATCTCCTTAAGGACTAAGGCAGCATTTTTGGGACAAAATCAATGCATCTTTCATAAGCAACAATGATAACAACTAAGTTTTGTTGAGTGTTATGGCATAACACAAAGCAAAATATTTTAGGTCATTTATTTGTTCCAGTAATCTTAGGAAGTCAGTACTATTTTAATCCTCCCTTTATAGATGAAGAAATCTGGCCCCGAGAGGTCAGTCGTGTGATGTCACAGAGCTTGTCCCCTTAATTGCTACATGGACAGGTATCCGCGGACCTGAGATCTCATATTACTGGCGCAGAGAAAAGACTTGTCTCAGGAAACTGACATATGTAAACCCAAGAGCAGATGCTCCTCAGTGAGGTCTTGATGATACGGGGACCCTGGTTTGACATTTATCAGAAGGGTTTCAAAAAGCAGTCACCACCGGACCTTCCTTCCTGTCTTAGCAGGGACTGAATGTTTTCATGCCTCTGAGCCGTGACTGTGAGGTCACTTATCAGTTGTGGTTTTATGTCAAGGAAATCAAACTGACTGAAGCAGTCTGTCTGAAGTAAGTGAACTCCCACCCCAGTGCCTCAATAAAGCTTCATATCAGGACATAAAGTAAAACACAGGAAAGTCCACGTGGCTGCCCCTCTCCCTCCATGCACATCCTCTCTCCCAGTTTACTGTGTATGGTCCGCTGGGGAGTCTCCTGCCAGATCCAAGCTCTTGTTACCACTGTTCTAACAGCTGTGCTCCTTTCTTCTTCGCCTTACTACTCTCTAACCCACTGAAAGCTGGTTTTGTTCAAGTAACATACCTTTCTTCAAGAAAACGACATCTAATTAAATTCCAAAGAACACCATTTTATGAAAGGGATGGTTCCCTTTTTGCAAGTCGCCATTTGTCTTTCTGGTGATGTGTTCTTGCATGTTCAGTATCTCGCTTCAAGGCATCCTGATGCAGATTTAAAACATTGGAGAAAGAAATAAGATGCAAGGTTCTATGGCATTTAAAATAATTTATGCATCCCATCCTCTAGGCTTACAACCAAAATGCAGCAGGAGAGATTCGCTTCACATTCTACCAAGGCTTGCACCACATTGAATCCTTTGGGAAAGAAATCTAAATTGCAATTGTAAAAAGAAATCCGGGAGAAAAAGCCCAATGTTATTCTGCAACTCGAAAATAGTTGTAAAGTCCACCAGGAAAAATGTCAGGAGAATATCTGGTAGAAGTTCAAAGGCTGCAAGTAAAGTTTGTTGCAGCTATTAAGAGCAATGCACATTAAAAAGGGGTCAATTAACATTTATCAAGAGATGCTGACCTTTGTGAAGTATATTGACTCTGAGAGGCGAAGCACATTTCCTGTGACTTTAAAGTAATAACTCGCGGAAAAGAAAAACCCATTCCTGGGGGTGGGGTGGGGTGCCTACAAGGCCTAGATTTGCAGACTCTGTGGGATTCTCATTGGTTTTCTCTCTTGGACACGTTTTTGAAATTTCCATTACGTTTTTGAAATTTCCAAAAACCATAATGGCCCTTCATTTAGACTTGAAGAAGCAGAAGTGTAGATGACATTTCTGAATGTCTGGATCGGGGTAATCAGAACCAGCTAAGGCAATGGTTTCCAGTCAGAAATTCTATCTTTTCTCTACCCTGCACTCTCATCTGACCTTCTTGTATTCGTGCTAAGCCCCCGGGTAGTAGGGTGCGTGTGTGAAATGTGGTTACCTGTAAAGGGAGGCATATGGGAGTATCCCAAAACTGTTGGCTTCTGTTCCACCAGCTCCTTACATCTCCAAGGCCCAAGCTCCTCTCTCCTGTAATGAGAACACACTTAAGCTGGAAAGCCAAGGTCTCTAAATGCAGAACCTCCTTTATGATGGACATCTTCATAGTTTCCCCAATGACTAAATCAGGTATTTATCTGCTTCCTTGGACAGCTCTGAAATACTTCATGGACTCTCAAATTATGCAGAGGCAGTTTGCATTGAAATCGTCTTGCTATGGACTGCTTCAAATCTCTGAGGCTTTGTCTTTAGTTTTGGTCAATTTTGACCGATTGCTTCCTCACTGGATCTGAGATCTAGTTTTGCCCTTTCCTGACATTTGACTGTAACCATGCTGGAAGCTTCATCATGCCTCAGATCCCCACTGGCCTCTGAAATCATTTGATCTTTCCAATTCCTTTCTGTAATTTGGATTTGCTGAGCTTTCTAATAATCACAGATAGTCCTGACCGAGCATTTACTAATTCATTAATTCTAAGGATAACTCCATGGGTTAACTATTAATGTTAAAAAAATCATTTGGGGGCACCTGAGTGGTTCAGTCAAACATCTGACTCTTGTCATGATCTTGGGGTCGTGAGATCGAGCCCCACGTTGGGCTCTGCACTCAGTGCAGAGTCTGCTTGAGATTCTCTCTCCCTCTCCCTCTGCCCCTCCCCCCAATATGCTCTATCTCAAATAAATAAATAAATCTTTATAAAAAAATCATTTGCTCATTTATTTCAGGGACAGCACCTTAAATTAAAACCTCAAATACTTTAATTAATAATTAAGTCTATCTTGACCATAAGGAAATTGACGATATCTGTCCTTTTCCCATGTTATCCTCATCCCCGAGGAAATTTAACCTCTACCTCAGGCAGTCTTGGTTGTCTGGGTTTCCTGGGACTTTTAGAAGATGGAGAAGGGTGTTCTTGTTGTTGAAAGAGTTGGGTACAACCAGGCAGGTGCCGCTGATTTCAGGTGAAAGCGTATCAGATGGTGTTGTGCTATTTCCTTGGGAAATAGAACGGGAATGTATAATTTGCTGGAAGGGGTGGCTGCAGGGGAAGTGGGCATTTCACACTTGCTGATGGGCTTGGGAGAGGACCAAAGACATGGAAGCTAAGATCTGGAAACTAAGAAAGAATTATAGTCATGGAACAGTTGCCAGACCTAAGCAGTTGTTTCCAGAATGGTCTCTCTGCTTTCTCCCGTGCAATTCACCCATCACTTCGCCTTTAGGGTGATCTTTCTAGAAGAGTGGGATTATATGGCTCCTCTACCTCAAAACTTTCAAGTGCACTTATGGCTTTGAAGATACACTGTGAGGTCCTATGGACGTCATTGAGGGCTTTAATGCTCTGGCCTCTCCCTTCTCTCCAGCCTCCTCCCTGCCCCGGCCCGGCCGTTTGCTCACAGCCACCCTCTCCCTGGTATCCCCGTGCTGTCCCCTGGTGAAAGCCTACTCCGTTTTCCGGACCAAGTTCAGATGTCACTTGCTCTATGGAAGCTCTCCTGACCTCTTTCATCCATAATGAACTCTCCCCCCTCTGGGACTGCAGTGTACCACATAAATAGTTCTATCCGGGGACCTATAATACTTGATTTGCCATATTTGTTTAAATGTTTGCCTCCCGCACTAGGCTGTGGGCTAACTGAAAGCAGGGACGTTGTTTTTTTGTTTTGCTTTGTTTTGGTAGCTCTGGAATCAAGCACACCGCCTAGCACAGATTAGACATTAAACATTTGTTAAGATCAACTGAGGGGGAAAATTTCCCAACTGCCTGTCAGAAGGCTCGGATTCTGAAAAGAGTGGTTTGGAATAGGGATCTGTGAGGAGAACACCTGCTCTCCAAAGTTATAAGAGACATATATCTACAGCTAATTTAAAAGCTGAGTGATTGTCATGAGCATTTTTTTCTTTAACATTTTCACTTTTTATTTAAGGAAATGGCACACATAAACACTGGCTTAGATGTTTTTCTCTTGCTAGGGCAAGTTGCATGATTTCCACGAATAATTTTTCCCTTTTGGCATCCTATGGACAATTCACACCATTTAAAACTGCAGTTCTGAATTTACTCCATGTTATCAAAGCTTCATCAGTACAGTCCAAAAGATCCATACAGAGGTTAAGACTTGAAAAATCAAGCCATATAGTGGCTTGAGAAATGCCACTGACTGGGATCCCCCACAGCAGCTTCCAGCATTTGCTTCCTGGTCCTGGGTTCAGGCCGGTGCATTCCTGGGATTGTGCAAAGGGTGGTTCAGGAGTGGTGGATGAGGAAACAGGGAGAGGATCTTTGGAATTCAGAACATTTCTCTTCAGATGTTGTACATACATTAGCTGAGGGACACATCCCAAAGCCCCTGGAGAAATAGGTACCATCATTTCCAGTTTGGAACAAGGGGGATGGAATACTAGCGACAAAGGCAAGAGCTGAATGGAAGCACCTTGACTGATTCTAGTACTAAGAGTTCAACCGGTGGCTAAGTCCCACCTGCCTGATCCCCTGATCTAGAACTCAACCAGGGCCTCTGTGCTTTGAGGGTCGGGGGCAGGAACCAAGCCTCCACCCAGCTGCACACTGTGACATTCTAGGTCCTTCCTTTTCTCCAGCTCGCTCTAGGTGGTATCGGGACAGGTTTAGAAGCAAGAGGGTTTTCTACCATGTCGTTAGCCCACGGCTCTGCATGCTGCACGTTTTTCTTCCATAATAAGTAAAATGTTTCAGAACTAACAGTGGGAAGGAAACAGAAGTACGCTGAAAGACCAGGATAAAATATTTAAGAAATTAAAACAAAACGATCATTTATTGTTTTTAATATGTAGTCAAATATGACAGCGGTATTACACAAACTCTTCCCTTCCCCCCTTCTTCCATCCCCAATTCGTTGACTCCAACCGGAAGTGAAAAACAGGATTTAATTCTGAAAATAGCAATCAGCAGAGACAACACAGATAACATTTGGTCACCACCAGCTTCCAGACCTTTTAGGATGAACTGTGTCACCATGGCAGTCGATACACTGGCTTTCTTACAACATTTTTACTAGGGAAAAAAAAAATGAAGATTTCCCACCTACTGTAAGCAGAGCTAGAGTTGCAGAAAAACTTGGTTTAAGTAGCTGTGTGAGGAAAACTTTAATGACTTATTGCAATCATAACGATCCCCAGGTAAAAGAGATGGCAAATGAATGAACTGTAAGGGAAATACATTCAAACTTAGATACTTAATCTTACAGTGAAAATAATCAGGAAGCTTGCAGAAGTACATAGCATCTGAATTCTTGAATTTAAACTGTCGGTTTCAGTAAAGGTTACCCCTCGTCTGCTATTAGACACCAATAGTGCAAATTCATGTACAATCATTCTTATATTTGCAGGTTCAGGTACGTCAAGCGTGAGGTCATCGTGAAGTATGTGTAGGTTATTTGACCATGGAAGAATGTAGGGCTCAGAATGTCTCACTGACACAGCAGAGGAAATATGAATGATACCCAGAGACTGGAGTAAATTTGAAGTGCTCAGTTTTCCAAACCCTGGATTAAAGCGAAGTCTTGGAAAACCTCTGCAAAATTAACCTTCACCTGAAAGACACATCCTAGATGTGAGTACAGGGCTTTGGAAAAACAGTGAGAAACAAAGTTGCAATGTGCTGTGCTCACCCACTCAGTCTTTTCCTTTTGTAGGGGGTTGACTGGGTTTAGAGGGTCAGATTCTCCCCGCAGTGTTCTCTTTCAGGAACACTGCAGTGAGCTTTGTGATTCTGACAAAGGGTACAATTATACCCACTTTGAAATGCATTTACAAATATTCTGTGTGCTGGTGCAACTGGCATAAAACACAGACAGCCCCGCGGGTGCCCAGCTTCTTCTCTTTTCACACTTGGACATTGCAGAGGGCTACAAGCAGAATTACCAGAAACAGTAGTAAATTCCTGGCATTGGAAGTCCCCATGATCCCAGCTGGCATGCAAAAAAGGCTGTCTCTTTTTCCCCCCTGAAAATAATGTACTTCCCAGGCACCGTCCAAACGCCTCAAATGAGGCAAATGAGAGATTTGTTTTGATCAGCCTATGAAAAGACTTTCCCCTTCTCAGCTAGGGCTCTGAGATTTCGCTATAATGTACACAAAATGTCTGTGTCTAAAGAACATTAATTAATTTCCCTGAAATGATTTTAATAGGTCTCAGCAAGGAAAGCTCTGACTTCACTTTGATGGTATTTTCCCGAGTAGCCTGGTGGAGGACACTGAATGTGGGGTTTTATTTCTCTGCTATAAATATGACAATCTGAGCATGTTTTTGTTCAAACCACCTTAAAAATGGTTGCTTGGACTTGACCATGTGTCTAGATAATAGTACATGAATCTGGTCCCGAGATGGTCGAACTTCACAGAGATTCAGCTATGGGTCCACAGTTGAAAGTACCCTTTCTTCTCGTTTCCTCAGGAAAATTTATTTTCTCTTTATTGTATTTTATTTCCTCTGTGTGGTTGGCTGTCTCATGGTCTCTGGCACAAGGGGACAAAAGTACATGCCTTATAAGTCAGAAGGAGATAAACGGAAAAGTCTCTTCTTGGTCCTTACTTGACCATAAGGAACCCAATTTCCTGGAGCAGGAAGGCCCCTCCTGGGCCTTCATGATTTTAGGATTGTGCCATAGGAGAAGTACAGGTGGATAATGGTTGAGTTTTAAATTAATTGGGGACATCCTTGACTTTCTGTATATCACCTGTTTCCTAGGATAACTTGCAGGATCTGTGCCTCAGTGTCTGAATGTCTGAATGACCTAATTTTGAGCTGATCTTCATCTCCTATTGATCTGTACATTGCTCTGAAGAAGATGAAAATTCTGCTCGATAGCGTATTTCAATTTTTCCATGAATCGTATCCACCCACCCACTACTATGTTTATACCTCTCCCCACATAGCAAACCTCTATAATGAGTTTCATACTATGTATCTATGCAACAGGCACAAAGGTTTATAGCTGCATGATCAATAAGTAACATTTTGGTCATGAATATATAGTTTTTGTAATGCTAGGGAAAAGAGAGATTCTTTTAAAAAAATAACACGCCAGTGGGAATGAGAGAAGTCACTGAAATTTTCAACCAGAATCAAAATAAATATATCACTATCTGCCAACTTAAAATTTTTTGCTTTATTCCATTAGATTTTTTTTTAGTAATCCTCAAATGTTAGTAAATTTTAGAAAATAGAAAAAGATGAGGAGCAGCATATGATTTAAATTATTCCCCCCCCACCCAGCCTTTTATTCTGGATTTAAAATCACAGAATCTTTTAGTGTCAACAATGATCTGGAAATTCACTTATAATAACAAGTTTTGAGCATCTATTTCTCTAGACATAATTTGGTCATTCATAATAAATGTGCTATTGAGAGGCCAATGATGATGTACTTCATAAATGTGTCAGGGAGAAGTGATTCAAGAAATTATGTGATTTTACTTGGATAATTACCATCTTACAAAAATTACCATCTTACTTCTTTGCAATCATCACCATGAGAGCGGTAGGCAGTGGATGGTTTAAAAGTTATGTCAGGTAATAATCAGGCAGATGCATTCCAATTTCAGCTGAAATTAGAAGATCAGCTTAATCAAAATGTTATGTAACATCAAACTGTCCGATGGACTGTGATAGAGGAGATATACTTGAGGGTCTCTTCGGCTGAAGCTTTCTGGTTTCTGGATTATTTTGCGAGAGCTCACTCTGTGTGAGCTCCTCAATATTCTATAGCCTTGGGTTTTGTAATCAAGGCTTTCAATTGTGTCACCATAGTAGCGATTTGTAATAAATGGTTATGAATGCTCCCAAAATCTGGGTTGGTGTGTTAGCAAAGGAATCAAGGGGAGGCCTGATATTCCAGCTGGGGGTTTGTTGTTATTTCTAGGAATATTCTTGAGGGGTTGTCTTTGTAAAAATCCACCAAGTTTTCCAAGTGGTGCAGTAACAAGTGCACACCAATAAGTGTGACTGACTTGATTCACAGTTACCCACAGGAAATCACTGACCCAATGGGAAAACTGACACAAGGCACATCAAATCATTAGGAACTTTGGCTTGACAGATTTAAATATCCCGACTCGGAAATTTCCAATTCTTAGTTTCTTGAGACAGTCCATCTTTCCTTCTAGAAGGGCAATAAAAAAATCAGATATAGAAATAAAAATAACAGAATATCAGAAATAGAAAGCTCATCCAGATATACTTAAAATTAGATGTACCAAACTTCAACTTCCATGCATATTTTGAAGGCAAAGATGAAGGACCAAGATTTGTAGAAGTGTCAAATGACCAAAAGAAAACTCCTTAGAGCAGTCTGTGATACCGAAGTTGTATGACCCCAAGTCTCCACTCTGAAGCTAACATCACAACAGCTACTATTCTAGCAGCAAAGCACAATTACCGAACAGACTTATCTCTCACTAGGAAACAGGCAATTTCCAAGTTTCTAGAGATAATCAATCTTCTGATCTTCTCCCAATAAATTTGTAAAACTGAGAGATGGGGAAATAGGTAAGGATGATGGTGGGTTGTAATTGAACTGGTGACTTTTTAGTCCCTTCTAATTCATAGAGTTTATGATTCCAAGTCTTATTGTAAATAAAAAACAAAAACCCTATCTATCATAAAGCTTAAGGGAAAGAGAAACATTTCTTTTTTTCTTCTGATGTATTTTGCTCGTTAGATAATCCGGTAGTTTTCCCAATCCCAATCCGGGGACATTTGGCAATGTTTGGAGACATCTTTAGTTGTCACAGTCTGTGTGTGTGTGTGTGTGTGTGTGTGTGTGAACACTGCTGGCATAAAGTCAATGGAAGCTGCCTGGAAGCTGCCATATACGTCCTACAATGCACGGGACTATTTCCACCTCACCCTCTGACAAAGAATTAGGGGACCCCAAATGTCAACAGTGCCGAGGTTGAGAAAGCCTGAGGCAGTCTAATAAGTGACATAACAACCACACACACCTAAAGTGCAAATGCTTCTTTGACACACTGGTATTTCTGGAATACCTTAAAACTATGATGTTGAACGTTCAGAAAATATTGGTACAAGAAAGTGAACTGTTACATCTAGTCAGAAAAAGTCCAAGTGATCTGGGAAGTCCTTCTGGGTCTGGGACAACTTTGGATGAGTCACTTTTGTTCCCATGAATGAAATTTACAAACCATTTAAAATAGAGCAAACAGCACTGATGTGCAATGATGTATCATATTTCTGAAACATTCTTTAGGCAAATACTTGATAGTTCTCTATCTAAGTTTAATAGACAATTGGAATTGGAAATTGGATAGAGTAATATTGATCCCACCTCCTTGCAAAGTTGTGCTTGAGGATTCCATCATATTACAATTATCAGTTGACCTGCCTGATCTCTTATTTGTATTTATCACTATATACCACAGATCCAGCACAGGAACTTGGTTCCAGTAGGTGCTCAATAAATATTTAAGTAAACTGAGTGGCTGAATGAGTGAACAAATAAAGGGATGAGTCAAAGTGCCCCACGAAATGTAAAGTGCTTTATAAACACAAGGTAATAGGTAATGCCACAGACCTCATAATATTTGCTCAAAAAACCTTCCTGGGGTTTTTTCAAATGGTTTCAAAAGCAAATAAAACTTGTGATTATATATGTCGTAAGAAAATAACCTATGAAGATTCTTAGTTTTCAGATATATTTGGGAAGAAATGAAACAAAGGTAGAACAATCTTAAATGACTAAAAATAGTGTTGCTGACAGATGGCACCAGGTAGGGGTGGGAGGGGCATGCAAAACCAAAGACACTGTAATGGTTAGAACTTGAAATCACTGGTTGTCATAAAGATGGTACTATTCTTATGAACATATAGAAGAAGACCGGCCCAAAGTTCTATATTATAAGAAGAGTCAATACTACAGATACAGTTAGCCTTCAGATGGACTGTGCCTTCTAAGCTGCTTGGTTGGGGTTGGCCTTAACTGCTGATGAAAGGGTGCAGGCAAGAAAAATGGTAACAGAAATTACCAGTTGGGAGTTTTAAGTTCAAGACCCAATTCTGACACTGGGAAAATAACCATATCTTTCCGGGAGTCAATTTTCTGATCTGTAAAATGAAGAGCTTGGGTTAGATGACCTGCCATGATTCTGGCATATGGATGCTGATGCCAAAACATGGTGTGAGATGGGAAAGTAAGAGCTAGAGCAATCTTTGGGAATTAAATAAAGTATTAATTAATTAATTAATTAAATTAAATAAAGCTCATTGTAATAAAGTATCTGAAAAATGCCTGAAGAAATACCAAGCAAAATAACATTTCACAGGAGGAGGAAACCGTAACAACAGGATTGATTTCTTAGTTAGTCTTATTTAAATATTAATTTCTTATCATGGAAGGAAAGTTCCTTGAATCAAGGCATGGATTCTAGCAAAACTTTTTCTCAAATGGGCAACAGACACTAGAGGACATAACCAAGTTGACACTCCTTCAGGACAGGTAATAATGTAAGAACTTTTGGCCCCAGAAACTAATAAATTATACTAATCAGAATATATATTATCTGCATATTAGTATAATTTAAAAGAATAGTCATCCTCTTATTTGCATTTGCAAATTTTTACAGTTCAGAAATTGAGTTCCATGTATTTTTATATTTTAATAAGGCAGCCCCTTATGTTTGTGTCACAGGGATAAAATAAATATTTGAAATTTCTTATGCTTGAGGTATTTCCTTCTAAAGAGAAGCCTGCTGCTCAGCCCCTGGGCCTCCCTTTGCTGTGAAGAGTAAACTGGGAAATCACAAGAAACTAGAGAGACTCAGTGACTCTACATAAAAAGGAATTGAACTAATTGCAGCATACACATAGGGACTCTGTCATGGGAGGAGTCAAAGTTGGGAGAGACATGACAGAGGGGAAATACTAAGAGAAAATATTAAGATGGGGAAAAATTGAGCAATTTTTCCTTTGGCATTTTCTTAAGAAAATTTTTTATTGATTTGTCTTTGAATGCTTTTAGGATTGGTGGACTTTTCTTCATCTGAATGCAAATTTGTGCTGAGACTGGACCAAGGCTGTGCTTTATATGGGTTACATTGATGTAAGGTTTTAAAAGCCTGTACATCTCTACATTTAGTCAATCTGCATAATAATAACCTTACAACGGAGACAGAACAAAAATATTTTTATTTTCCAAAACTGTAAATTGAGACTCATGGAAGTTAAAGTGATTTTCCCAAGATAACATAGTGGAGACTCAAAGCTGTGTCAGCTGGTATTCTTTTCATTATAGCATGCTGCCTCTTTGAGATCAAAAACACTTAAATATGCCCAAGAACTATGAAATCTTCTCTTTTTCTTCCTTCTCTTTTTTATTCAAGGAGAGGGAATTAAAAGGAAAGACCTCTACTCTACAGCACTGTATAAAAGAATTTTCTGCAATGATGGCAATGTTCTTTGTTGTCCAATATGGAAGCCAACAAGCCACATGTGGCCATCGAGCATTCAAAATGTGTCTAGTGATTGAAGAACTGAGGGTTTTTTTAAATTTAATTTTAATTAATTTAAATTTAATTTTAATTAATTTAAATTTAAATAGCCCCATTTGGCTAGTGAATAGGATACTGGACAGAACAACTCTAGAAGCTCCATGTGAGAGAGATCAGCAAATGCTCTAGGTATCTCAAACTAAAATAATAATGGGAGTAAACTGTACTTTATTATTGATCTTTAGTTTTCTGTTTGTTAGTGTATCTTAAAATCTAAACACTTCATAAACAACCAACATTGTGGTCCGTGCCATCTGGTTGGCTTAAGACATTTTTCTTGACATTTATACCTTTACCTAATCACCAAATATTATTTCCTCTGTAGCACCATTTATCAGATTTCTTCAGAAGTCTGTATGTGTTTCTTTGCTGTTCTTAATTTTTAAAATTGTTATCCTCTCTCTACTGTGTTCATAGTATTTAAGTAATGTACAGATGCACCCCTTCTAATATATAATGTATGTAAAGTCCAAAGCATCAATGCCCATTCTGAATTTCTAGAAACATGGTGTACGTTTGCTCTTCCTTTGCAGTAAATGGGCACCAGGAACAAACCAGAAATATAAAATAGAGTCAAAATTTCATGAAAAAAAAAGGGATTAGCCAGCCTTTCTCCTTACCACTAAAAGATTCATATACAGCAGAAACTTTTCACCACCTTTAACTCCTACTTTTGTTAGGAAGTGTTCTCACACTTCCAAAAAGTTTTCCCTATTACTAGGTGCTTTAGTTCACTGAACAATTCAGTTTTATGTCTTGTTCGTTTGTTTCCAGAATTGTCAATTCTTTTAATAGAAAGTGGAATATGAGCTCTGAAGGGAAGAAAGACAACATTACGACTTCAAAGAATTGTGTAAGGAGTTGGATATATATACAAGATTTATATAACTGTCAATCAACTGCTATTGGAAGCCACACCTATCACAAGAGCTAGTGGGAGAAGCGTCATCTTATCCTAAAAGGAATCGTCTATGTGTTCCTTATGTCTTTGTAGAATACCAGTTGCACCAGTTACATTGGCAAGTCATTTGGTTATTGCTAATCTGACCAAACCTACTCCACAAGAAATAAGTTGGGATATTTCATATAAACTGAATGCAGATATAGCAGAGAGATTGTCATCACATCCTTCAATCGCCTTGCTTGTCAGGTTTTGTTTTTTTTTTTTTTTTCAATTTTTAACTAAGTAGGTTAGGAAAAAATTACTAACCTCATCAGGTATTTAAAAATGTAAAGCAAAATATACGTGATTGAAGACGGTACTAGTTTACGTCAGACAACTGTGAAGATAACATAGGATACTCTGTTAGTAGACTGATGTTGTTCAATGTAGACACTGTGTACAGATGCCGGGCTGTTAGCAAAGTGCTGCTTATAAGACATCTCTGCTTCCTGATACCTGAATCTGCAAATGTTGGACACTGTGCCCTAGGAGAATCTACAGCATCTGGGCACAGGATGTCAGTTTCATGCGTCGAGATGTTGATGAACTTGTACACACAGGACCTGAATTTAAATGTTGGGAGCTCGGTATACGTATTAACCACTTTCCTCCTCAAGCCATGCCTTTCCTTTCCTCATTCGTGGAGAAGTTTTGAAATCTGGATGGTGATTACGGGGCAAAATGACAGATCCATCTAAGGAGCATTTTGCATCTGCTTTCTTTAGCCAGGGAGGGAAGGGGTTGATAGGAATGAAAGAGTGGCTCAAATAGGCAGGAAAATGATCAGCACTGCGACTGATTGAACCACTTTTGCTAAGGGACATAAAAATATTCTAATATTAAGGATTATTTTACAACTCTATGGAAGTATGCAGTAATGCATCTCGCATTTGTTTTGTCTTGATGACAAATGCACTCTTTGAGTCACAAGAGCCTGCCTTGTGTTAGTTATAAACAAAAATATATTTATATATATATTTATGTAACTACTATGTGCTTTAAAGAAAATTACTGTATGATTCAGCAGGGTTCTTTCATCCTTTTTTATCACCAGGGATATGCTGACTTGAATGGCTTCTTAGACAGGAATTGACAATGACATGGGCCTTAAGTACTGAAACAGCACAAAGTAAAAAGGAAAAAAAAAACCACCCCAAAACCCTCCCCCCACGTATGTTTAGACTCCCTTAATGTTTTTTGTTTTTGCTTCAAAAACGATTAAGGGACTCTTTGTATTGTTTCCTTCAGCCAAGAGCAACTGTGGCTTCATAGGATTTCATAGTTGGGAAAACGGAGGTAATGTATCTTAAAAAAAAAAAATGAAGTGTTTTATTCCGAGGCAGGAGAACCAGAAATCTCCTTTGCCTCTCCCTCTCTCCTAATCCTTAGCCAAGAGTGTGGCAATTCTGCCACAGCCCATAGGAAGGACACTCATTAACAAGGGAGAAGGAGGCACAGATAAAAGATTCATTCTGTAGAATAATGAACTTGTCGGAACAAGTGGATCTAGACCAGAAAAACAAAATCCTTTCACCACGTGTCTGGTGGAAAGAGAGAAAACCCTCTTATTTTAGGTTTGTTTTTTGCTCCTGCATGAGCTGTTTTTCTTAGCAATCTTGAAACATTCATCATTGCTCTTTTGAGAGAAAAGGTTTAGGCTTTGGAACACAGTTATCTTTGAGACATCAGAGAAGAATATTTGAACCAAAGGCGTAGATCCCTCATGAACTAAAGCTTTATTATTATTGTTTGTTCTCTATCCCTTTGCAACCCTGCACCTAAGCCAATTGCACTGTCATCTTGTCATACTTCTGCTAAGTCCACAGGAGATGCTCTGAGTGAACTATAAAACGGTATTCCACTAGGGAATTCTATGTTCAATGGTCAGTGGTACCTTGGATGAGTTTTAGTTTTTCTTTTACCCTTCCAGGGCTGGCCTTGTCCAGAAATCTCATCTCCTTCAGGCTACAGCAGCTTAGGGCTCCTTCGTGTGTGTGCGTGCATGCGTGCGTGCGTACGTGTGTGTGTGTGTGTGTGTGT